CCATTACGGGGACGCAGACAGCCAGGAACAGTGTGTGTCAGAAGTCTCACGTCAGGGGCCAGGAGACTGCAGTTCTTTTGCTTAACCTTGAAGTTCCCATTCTTCCTGTTTCCTTTAAGGGCCTTATCTCCAGCTTGACAAGTGCTGACAGGTGGCCCCCTCATCTCACAGAGCCTCCTGACCACACGGGCTCAGACTATCTCTTTATGGTCTGGTTTCTTATATTCAAGAAAAGGCAAATGGCAACAGATTTCTATTTGCAGCTGCCAGGGTCATAACATGAAGCTTGTGGAGTTTGGAAGCATTTCCAGTTTCCTTCTCTGAAAGCAGTAATTTTGGTCCATTGAAGCTCAGTGAAGTGTGTTTCTGTTGTCTGGGGTAATGCGGCATTGAATTCCTCTGATAGAAGAGGGTCAGCATCAGCCGTGATGAGCAGTGTCATTTCATCTGAGCTGGGCCACTTTCCCTCCCAGCCACGCAGGACCTGGTTTGGTTCCTCTGCACAGTGCAAAGCACTGGCCCTTTGCACATGCTGTTCCCTCTGCCTAGAAAGCTCTCCCACTCCTCACCTCTACTTGGTTGACTCCTGCTCAGCCCCAGGTCCAAGGTGCCCTAGGACCTGTTACATGTTCCTGTGGCACCTTCACTTCTCCTTTATGGCCCTTTGCCTATTGTAATTATACTTTTAATCTTAGTGACATCTTCCTCACTGGATGCTAAGGTCCATGTTGGCTGCCTCTGTGCCAGCCATATGCCAATGTAGTTCCTGAAACATGGTGGGTGCTGAGTAGATAGGGTGAGAAGGAGGCATCCCACTGAGTCTTCTGACCAATCTACTCAATAACTTCTTTTCCACCCACCACAGACTCCAGATCAAGAGTGGCAAACAGAAAAGCACCTCAGAGTGAGAACTAGAGTCAGGCTGGGTGGGTTTATATCCCAGCCTTGCCTCTTACTAGCTATATGCATTTCTGCTGCTGCGTAACATTACCACAAACTGGGCGATTTACAACGATACACAACCCCCATGGTTCAGGAGTCTGGTAAGGCTTAGCTCCGTGCTCTGCTCAGGGTCCCACTAAGCTGCAATCCAGGTGTCAGCTACAGCTACGGTCCCATGTGAGGCTTGGGTCTCCTTCCAAACTCTCCTGTTTATTGGCAGAATTCATTTCCTTTTAGCTGTAGAAATCACAGTGGCTTGGTTCTTCTAGGCCAGACAGGGAGTCTGAGTTCACAGAAAGTCCAAGCCCTATTTAAAATGCTTACCTGATTAGGTCAGGCCCATCCAGAATAACTTCCCTTTTGATTAACACACAGTAACTGACTGAGGACCTTAACTGCATCTGCAAAACTCCTTTGCATTTGCCTTATAATGTAACATGATCATGGGAGTGATATCCCATCATATTCTCAGCTCTTGCCCGCACTCAAGGTTCGGGGGGGAGTTATATAGGGCACGGACCCCAGGGAGGCAGGAATCACAGAGACCAGTAATGACTTACTCTAGCTGTGTGGCCTTGGGTGAGTTGCTTCACCTCTCTGTGCCCATTTCTTCATCTGTAAAGTAGGAGTTATAGTAGGCCCGACTTTGTTTGTTGTGAAGATTAAATGAGTTAATTTATATAAAATGCTTAGAAGAATTCCTGGCAGGTGTTGCGTACGCAATAAATGTTAGCTGTTAGAGCCATAAAGATGACTAGAATCCCCAAATGAGCCAGTGGGATCCAGGCTTAGAAATACAATCCACCAACTGGCTGGAAAATGAAATCTGAGAAGCCAGGCTGAAGGGGAAAGAAGATGAGGAGACCAGCCGGGAGCTGGGCAGACCGGCCTTCCTAAGAGGGAGTGGCAGCTTCCACACCGCAGGGCAGAAAGGGGCAAAGCAGCTGGATGGCTGTCTGGTCACTAAAGCACATTGGGTGTAAGTGTGCAGCTGGATGCCTGTGCCCCCCAGTGTAGTGCCTTTCATGAAAACATCTCTTCTCATGGGGAAGAGTAATGTCTTCACTGAACTGGACATCTGGGTAACTGCTGTAAGCAACTGTACCCCAAAACTCAGGACTGCCCTAAAGGAAGGATTTCTCCTAAAACAGAATCCCAGTTGATTCCATTTTAAAAATAAGGGCCCCTCCTTACCCCGGAGAGACCCACAATCACACGAGTCAGGGTTGGTGCAGTGTGGCTGGAAGGAAGCCCGTGTGGAAATTTGCTACGTGGTGCATGCATTTCGCGGGAGAGTGTTAAGAACCGATTTGCTGCTCAATTTGGGATGCTGTTAACCACACGGAGATGCAGTGCGGTGACTCAGTGAGTCAGGGTCATGGGGTCATGTTTATGAATATGGGCTGCGGGGTGTGTGGGGCTGCGCGAGGCGACGTGGATTCTGTCTTTGGAAGAGATTTCATTGGAATCCCTTTCAGCTGGGTCACCTAGGGCACATCATCCACTCTTTTTTAGGTCTCATATTTTATAATCTGATTATTCAACTCAAGTGGTTTATTGATGGTGGTAGTGGACACCCTTGGCACTCTGCTGAGGACCCTGGGTCCCCATATGGTTTCTGGGTGCCCTCTCCTCCAGCTCCTGTGGGCTTTATTTCTAATGGTTGCACCGACCACTTGCTTCTGAGGGTGCATCTGGGCTCCTGGGGCGGCATCCTCCTGTGTAGAGATGGGGAAGAACAGGGGAACTTACCTCTTCCTGGGCAGCCCTAAGCCTGGTGCCCTCACCTCCGTCGGCACATGTTCAGAGGAGTAAAGTCATGCTCCTGAGTTCACTGCAGGCTCAGGCTTAAGGCTGGCAGTTCCTTCAGGATGAAGGTGAAGGTTAATCAGGTTAAACCTGAAATTACACCCTTGCTGGGCTTCCCCTGTCCTGCTCCCAGCACCAGCCACATAATTTGCAGGGCCCCTTGTTAAACTATTATCAATAATTAAGAATTTCATGATGGTGACAGCAGAGCGTTACAGTAAGCACAAGACCCTTCTGATGCGGGACTTCATAGGTCGCATCCTGGGAGCTCCCTTATTAAGTCACTCGCACGTGAATTCTTGTCTTGTGTTCTGCTCTGGATGGATTCTAAGATGAGTACGGCACCAGCCTTCCCCCGAGGAGCTGAGGGAAGCAAGCCAGAGGGAGGCACAGATCACTGTGTCACATCAGACCAAGAAGGAAAGCCCGATCCTGGAGGTGCTCAGAGCGACAGGTGTGGGGAGGGAAATGCTGCCTGGGGGCTCACGAGGGCTTCTGGGTTCCAGGTTCGTTCTTGTGCCCTGGGAACTTGGTGTGTGCCCCAAATGATGGGCAGATAGCATGGGGGTTGATGGTGTGGGATTGGGTATGGGAGGCGACTTCAGAAAGGGGACCCAGCACAAGCAAACGTGTAGAGGAGGAACTTGGGTGTATTCAGCAGGTGCTTACTGTGTGCTCGGTGCAGAACATTTTTTAGAGCTCATTCTGTGCCAGGGAAATGCTGAGCTGAAGGAGGTGAGAGGAAGGGCTAGATATAAGAGAGGGAGTCCAAGAATTTACCATGAGGTGTTAGGAGTCCTTGAGATCACATCAAATAAAAGATTCTCTAATTGTGGAATTTCATAAATTGACAAGCTGTTGTGGTTGATTTTGGGGGAGAGCAGGAACCTCTGGTATCCACCCCCTGTAATCGTTCCTTAGTCCACTCAATTTGGTCCCCTAGTCCTAGCCTGTCAGTTTGCTCAAATGAAATCATTAAATCCTTTTCCGAGTTGCTGGGACTCTTAGATGAAATGACTCTGGGTCCCTTTAGTGGCTCATCAGCTGCATCCTGACCTGGGCTGGCGATGGGTGCTGTGCAGACAGCACCCACTCTTTCTGGCTTTTCTCCAAGGAGCCCACAAACTCCCCTCCCCACCCCCTCTGGGTTTCCCAGAACATTAATGCAATCTTGGACATGAAGAAACTTCCCTGGAATCTGGGAAATGTAGGCGCTGGGTGAGGATGTGAGGGCGGCAGGGGAAAGTGGTGTTGAAATGCTTGCTCTGTGGGGGCCCCGGGAAACTTATCAGTGGCTTAGGCCATCTGCATTTTTCACAGCATGCCAGTGGGCAGGGAGGATGATAGCACTTTCTCCGGGAATAAGTGCATAAATGCCCTGACAGCTGGGCTTTGCCAGGAAGCTGGAGGCGGCGGCCTTCTTCTGTTTTACGTTGTGCTCTCTTCCTAGTGCTTGAAATATTTAGCTGCTCCCAAGTCGGATGTAAGCACTAACTGATGGTGGCTCATAAATCTTCTCGACAGATATCCCATTTGGGGCAGTAATTCATGATTTCTTCACTGCCTCCTATTAAGCAATTAAAAGAAGGCATACATTACTTTGGGGGTATATATAATCAAATGATTTTTAATTACTCAGGAAGGGGAAGCAGTGAGGCAGAGAGTGTCAGGCTTTCCTCTCTGCCTCTACTGTCTTAATTTGGATTTTTGGTGTGGGGAGGAGTCAGGCTTCAAAAGAATCCCTGAATGTGGCTCTGGGCCATCTGGGTCATCTGGCCCCTGCCCCCTTCTGGTGGCAGCCCGGAGGTGGCTTCTTCCAGTCCTTCTGACACTGGGGCGGGCCCCTTCTGCACCTCCCCCAGCCCTCTGCCTGTGAGTCTTCCCGGGGAAGGTCTTCCCTGATGCCCCCAACTAGCCTAGGTCCCCTCATCATAGGCTCTTAGCGTACCCTTTCCTTCTCTTTTATAGCACTTCATTCAACAAATATTTATTGAGCACCTGCTATATGGCAGGCTGTGTTCTAGACACATGTGACTTCTGTGCACTCTCAGTGAACAAAATGCATACAAATACTTGACCTCATGGAGCTGGTATTCGAAATGCATTGAGATTGTGACCATGAATAATTATTTGGTGATTAGTTTATTAACATATCTTTCTCATCTCCTGGAAGCTCCATGAAGACAGGGCTACATTTATCCTGCTGACCGCAGTCTTGGGACTGCCATGTACTGTAAATCCCTGGCACATAGTAGGTGCACAGTAGGGGCTCACGGAATGAAAGACAGCAGTGATCTGGTGGTGCCATTTGGTTGTCTTGGCTCTCCAAGGTGGTGGCATCTTCCTTTGGAATCCAGGTACCATGTGGAATTAGCTTCTCAGGACTGATTACAGCCTGTGAGAGAAATCATGAGGGAAGAAGGGCCGGCTCAGCCACAGACCTCCCAGAACCCAGGGGTCTCCCCTGGGAACCCAAGGGTGCTCACTGTCTGTCCTCTGCATTTGGCACCATTTCTAAATCTCTCCTCAGGGATCTTTCTGTTTTTCTGCTTCTGTGTATTTTTACTCCTATAACTCCTTGGGGTCTTTTTATCTTTATGTCAAATATTTATTTGTTGGGTGATTGTCACAGGGCCCTTTACCTGCCCTGAGGCCACCTCATTCAGGTGTCAACAGGGGACTCCTTGTGTTGGGGATTGGCTGGGCATCTCTATTTCACCACTTTTGTTTTTAACCCAGACTCGACTACATTTTGCTGATTTGTCTTCAGAATATTGTGTTAACCCCTAAGAACCCTCAGCTGAAAAAAGACCATCACCCCCACCTCAGCAAGATGCATTGGTCCATCTATCTCATTGGGTTGTTCATGTGACCACCCATTCATTTATTCATCCATAAAGTGAGGGAGGGAGGGACAGAGCAGGGCGAACAAGGTTCTCAAAACACAAGGTCGTCCAGTGCAAGGCAGCATTCGCTGCCAGGGCTGGGCAAATGCAAGTCGGGTCCTGGCTGTGGGCAGGCGGGCAGGCGGGAGAGAAGGAAGGGTATGTGGTGAGAATGAAGGCAGGCCGTCTGGGCCAAGAATCGAAGTGAGACCTGCCCTGCCTATGGCCAGCTCCACCTGCCTTTGAAATCTCACCCATCACAAAAGCCTTATATTAGATGATAACTGACCTCCAGATGAGAGCCCAGCAACCCAGAGGCCCCAGCACCACCTTTCACGATCCCCCGCTATGTCTGTACTTTGTATGTGGCAAAGACAGTATGTGACAGGCAATGTGGAGACCCAGAATCTCCACCTTTTCAGGAATAAAAAGTACATTTTTATAGTTAGATGGTCATTTAAAGGCCCCATCCATTGCAAATAGTACCTCGTCACTCGGTGGCATGCGTCCGAGTCTTCTTATCTTTTAAGAGAGGCCCAGACGCATAAAAGGACCGTAATTGCCAGTTGTCTTATAAGCAGTCATCTCTCATCATGGGGGGTGGGGAAGAAAGTTCAAGAGGCAAACAAAAGCCTGGCAAATCCAATCCAGCTGGATAATGGCTTCGAATAAGACGAAAAATGCCTGCTGAGGGCTCCGTAGTTTGCAGACATTTGGTGGGCGGACATAGCTGAGGACACGTCTGTGGCCACATCTGCTGCGGTAGATCTCAGCCAAGTCTTATGAATCCCCATTTCTCACTTCTAATGGGGGAGGAGTTTATCAGTGTTGGTCTCCTCTGAATCCCTGAATTAGGGAGCTTAGTGGCTGCAAATGTGGGGGTGTGGCTGGGTAATCACACAGTGGAGAAGCAGCTGCTGCTGATCAAGTTGTCTTTGTGTGTAACGGCTCCCAGGCCAACAGGTGACACAGCCTGAATGAATGTCATTCTCCTTCTGCCCCATGTGGTATTCATCCTAGGCAGGATGGGCTGTATCGAGTATAATTTTATAATAAGCATAATATAGTTAACACTAAGTGCCAGGAGCCTTACATGAGGCTCCAGCCATGGATCATCCCCATTTTGCAGATGGGGTCACTGAGGCCTGGGGATCTTGGTGACCGATGTGAGGTTGGACAGTAGGGCGGTACTGGAGCTGGCATTCAAATCCAGGCAGTTGGCCATCCCATATCCTCGTTTCTATGTTGAGCAGTGTTTTCAGGGATTCTGCCCCTCTTCCCCACCCAATCCTCCTACCGTCTACTTTGGCCACACTTGAGTTACTCTCTGACTTGAAAAAACATCAAGGTCTGCCCCTTACTTTACAGAGAAGGACAACAGAGGTATGGAGAGGGAAGGCTCAGCCAGAGAAACACCCCAGGTTTCAACCCTTTGTGCATTTCTGTGCATTTATTCTCTGCATTGTCTTTGCCAGTCCAAGATGTACCTCTAATAGCCCTTGGCCCTTTAGGTGTGCTTTGGTACTGTCCATCTCTATGACACCTTTCATGGCCAGTTCAGGTAAGAGGCAAGATGGAGTGTTCATTTTCCTTCTTAACACTCATTTTTTGTGCTATTTATTTACTGAGAGGGATTGTCCCGTCTTCAAGAGCCTGGATGTGAATCTTAGCTCTGTCACATACCAGCTGTGTAACCTTGGACAAGCCATTTAACCTCTCTGTGCCACAGTTTCTTCATCTTCATGGAAACAGTGATGCTATTAGCAGCAAGCATGGCGTGAGGGCCAACCATATGTCCCCCACCTGTACTACTGCTCTCTCTAAGTCAGGGGGATGGGAAAGGGCAGTCAGCACTCACCACTCTCCTGATAAAGGGAATACTTGGGGCTTGGGATGGGGTTTAGCACAGTGTGTGTTTGGAGTTGAAGTAACAGAGAAAACCAGCTTACACATCTGCCGGGAATGCCCTTCTGTTGGCCTGGTCATTTTGAAGAGGAATGGCTGTGGGTCATCTGCCCTCAGTTCTTCTTCCTGTGTCTCTTCGGTTGGAATCTCCTGTATGTGACAGAAGAGTTTCTTTACCTGGATGGGTCCTGCAGTTCCTTTTGTTGGCTGTGACTTTAGTTTCTTTTCAACTGCACACTCCCCTCCCCTGCCCTCCTTCTTCCTAAAACCAGAAAAGTACCAGCAGCCTTCAAAGAGCAGCACCTTTGGGTTTACCAAGCCCCAAATCCCAGTGGCTGGCACCGATCCAGAGAGCTCTGCTCATGCCTTTTCTCCTGGCACTCAAGCTGAGCATGTCGTTTCTAGAAATATCAGTTTGGGAGTGAGAAGCTTGAAAATGTCAGTGTAAAGTACATTTCCTGATTGTGTCATTCTGGATGCACCTTGGCTGGGTGACTTGCAGGGGTTGAAGTTTTGAGTTATACCTGCCTTCCCATGACCTTTGTGGGAATTTTATGCCAATCTGGAGTCAAGGGGGCATGTGGCAGTAACTTCTGATTAATGTACTTTGAAATGCAGGTCTGGAGTCACATCCCATATTGCCATTTTTGGTATCAGTTAACACAGTTTGGGCTATTATACTAGGACATACCTGTATATTGATAAGACAAAATATTTAAAAACAGCTGCTTACAGCACAAAGATCCTACATGGAATTTCATAACATTATTCATAAAGGCCCTAATCTAGATATAACCCAAATGTCTATAGACTTGTGAATGGATGCATAATGTGTATGGATGTGGTACATCCATACAGTGGAGTACTACTCAGGAACAAAAAGGAACAGCTACTGACACATGCAACAATAAGGATAAATCTCAACAGGAGTATTCTAAGTGAAGGAAGCCAGATTCAAAAGACTACAGCCTAATTCCACTTATGTGAAATTCTAGAAAAGGCAAAGCTATGGTGATGGCAGATCGGTGGTTGTGTAGGGATGATATGGGTCAATGATTGCAAGGGGTTTGAGGGAAATTTTTGGGGTGATGGAAGGATTTTAAAGTGTGGATGTGGTAGCAGTTGCAGTTATTAATATAATTTGCCTTTATTAAAGCTCACCAAACTATACTGAAAATGTGTAAAACTTATTGTATGCAAATTATACCTTGATAAATTGGTAAAAATGATTTTTAAATGAGAAAAAGATATAACTGTTTATGAACAACATGACCAAAAAACCAAGCAAAGGACACATCAAGGCAGTTCAGGAGAGGATGCAAATATCAATTAGAAGATGCAGGTACCCAATCTCATTGAAAATTTTTTTAAAGGGGTGGTTAAACCATGAATTTAGGTACAGATTTCACAAAAATTAATTTCAAATGGATTATAGGTGTAAGTATTAAATGCAAAACTCTAGAAGGTCACTCTTAAGGGATAACATTGGAGGAAATCTAGGTGACGCTGGGTTTGGTGGTAACTTTTTAGATTCAACACCAAAAGCACAGTCTGTGAAAGAGAAAATTGATAAGTTGGACTTCATTAAAAATTAAAAATCTTTGCTCTTCCAAAGATACCATTAAGAGAGTGAAAAAACAAGCCACAAGCTGGGAGAAAATATTTGCAAAACACGTATCTGATAAAGGATAGGCAGAGAAGTCTTAAACTTTAACAATAAGAATACAGTCTATTAAAAAATGGGCCAAAGGCCTTAACAGATACTTTAGCAGAAAAGATACATGTCATTAGGGAATTGCAAATTAAGCGATAATGAAATACTACTACACCTATTAGAATGGCCCAAATTCAAAACACTGACACCACCAAATGACAATGATGATGTGGAGCCACCGGAGCTCTCTTTCATTGCTGGTGGGAATGCAAAATGGTACAGCCACTTCGGAAGACAGTTCGGGAGTTTCTTACAAAGCCAAACAAACCCTTACCATATGATCCAGTGATTGTGCTTCTAGGTATTTACCCAAATGGACAGAAAACTTAAGGCCATAGAGAGACCTGCACATGAATATTTATAGCAGCTTAATTGATAATTGACAAAACTCTGGAAACATGGATAAACTGTAGTACATGCATATAGTGGAATGTTATTAGTACTAAAAAGAAAAGAACTGTCAAGCCATAAAAAGACATGGAGGAACTTTAAATGCGCATTACTAAGGCTACGTACTGTGATTCCACTCTGACATTCTGGATAAGGCCAAACTATGGAGGCAGTAAAATGATGAGTGATTGCCAGGGTAAGGGGAGAGGGAGGGATGGATATGCAGAGCACAGGGAATTTTAGAGCAGTGAAAATGTTCTGCATGATTTTGTAATAGTGTACACATGTCTTTACACAAACAATAAACCCTAATGTAAACTTACAGACATTAGTTAAAAATATTGTATGAATAATGGCTCGTCAACGGTTGCCAATGTACAGCGCCAATGAAAGATGTTAATAGGGGAAAGCGGAGGTGAGGAGTGGGTAAATGAGAGCTCTGTACTTCTGGCTCAGTTTTTGCTAAAACTGCTTTAAAAAAATAATAAAAAGGCTATTAATTTAATTAAAAACAAAACAGAGGACTGACCCTACCTACTTTTACATTGGCAAAAATGAAAAGGAGTGTGGGTCTCAGCCTGGATGGGGCACTTGACTTCTGCAGGGCATCTTTGCAGCGGGTAACAAGATGAACGGTATGCTAGCTCCCGATCTGGCCACTCCACTTTTAGAAGTTTATCCTAAAGCACTGTTTCTCAACCAAGGGACATTCTGTGCCCTTTTAGGGGAGACACTTGGCAATGTCTGGAGACAGTTTTGGTTCTCAAAACTGGGGAGCCGCCACTGGCATCTGGTGGGTAGAGGCCAGAGATGGTGCCGAAAGTCCTATAGTGCCTTGGACAGCCTCCCTCAGAGTTATGTCATCCTACATATCATTATGCTGCTGCTGAGAAACTCAGTTGGCCAAGTGTGCAGAAACATAGATACGCATCTCAGTGTTGTTCACAGTAGTGAAAAATTAGAAATAACCAAACACCAGTCAGCAGACATTAGTTAAATAAAGGATGGCATTATATATTCATCCTCTGGGACCCCGTGCAGCCTTTAGAATGGCAGTTCAGAGCTATTATTTTTAATATGAAAAAAGTGTCCATGAGACAGCGTAAATGAGAAAAAATTACAAAGCAACACACACAGAATAAGTCTAATCATTGTGAAGATAGAGTGTCTATGCATTTCTTCAAGTATCTGGGACGATACCTGACAAAATCCTAAGCCTGCGTCAGCGTGGTTGCTTTATGGAAGCCAGTAAACGTGTTCAAGAAAATTTACCAGATTATTTTTACCTTTTAAAATTTACCCTCTAAAATTATTTTTGATGTCTAGAATTTTTCTCAGTGAACATTTGTGTCTTTTATAGTTAAAATAATAAAACTAAAGTACATTTTGTGAAACTAAAAAATTGTGCAACTGGATATGTAGTCAAGTAGAGGTTGCTGCAATTTTAAGGTTCGTCTTCAACTATTACTTATGTTCAAAAGTGTTTTCAGGAATAAACTACCAGACCAAAGAAGTGCCAAGATGAAGTGCCTACTAAGTGCCAGTATTGATACATCTCATTTACATCTCAAACAATCCTTCTGAGTTGTTGTTCCTCAGCACCCATTGCATGGATAAGGAAGGAAAAGATCCGGGGGTTACCTAGGTGGAGAGCAGGGATGGCACCCCCACCACGGGGCTCCCCCAGGGTTTCCAGATCCAAGTCTCTACCTTTCCTGCTGTACCACAGAAGGGCCTGTCTGTCACCGTGCATGGATGACATGCTAGTGTGGGCTTATCAGTAATGAGTTAGATTTTCTTCAATACGCCTTTGAAAGAAAGCTAATACATTTAGGGTATTTCCACTTTACGAATTTAGAGAATGTTCTGAGAATTTCTATTCGTACACATAAAAAAGTCTTGTTACTGTTTGTTAATGGCACTTGGAGAGCTTTTTCTGATCTAATTTCTGATAAAATTCTTTTATCTGGAAGAGCTCATTCTAGATCAGGGATGGAAATGTCAGTTGTGCCAGAGCCTGGTCGGAGTCTACTGCACGTGCCTACTGGCTCCCAGAGAGCAAAGCTTTCCTGTTTCAGCCCAGGGTGAGCAGGGGGCAAGCAGAACATTTCCCAGCGTCATCTCATGGTCAGACAGACTATTCCTCTGGTACCAAGAGGAAGCAATTTGAGTTTCCTTATTTCCCTTGGAGTTTAGGGGTGCAGTTAGCAAGGCAACAGACCTCTTCGGGGTCTTCAACTTTGCCATCTGCTAGCGGAGGCTGGTTTTCTTGGAGGGTTTCTACAAGACAGCTATCTGGTGTAATTTGGAATGATGCATGCAACAGAGAACTGCTCATCTTGAGAGAGAGGGGCTTCCTCTCACTAATCATAGTCTTCCGGAAATGGTGTACTGCAGCCTCCACCCGACACTCACCAGGAGTGCCCACTACCCTGAATGTCAGTCTTTCCAGAGAAGTTTCTACACATGCCCAGAATGATTCCCTCCCCACTTTGCATTCACCTGGGCAGACTCCCACATTTCTCTGTGGTATTTCACCTCGATTGCCTTCTGACTTTACACCTCTTAAAATTACATGCCACAGTCTCCCCAGATACCACTCTTCCCCAATGTCGTTCCTCATCACCTTTTAAGTGGTTTCTCCTTGGTTCCATTCTTCGCCAAGGCCAGTTTCTATTTCCTGCCTCCTGTGTCTAATGTGTGGCCCATCTCCTCCCTTCAGAGAGTGACGTGGTGCTCCTGCCAAGTTGTGCCTGTGTTCTCTGCGGCTGGTGTGGTGTGTCCAGGCGTCCTGACAAGCTGTCAGCCTTCATTCCCAAGGAGCTTTTCTGCCTTGTGTTTTAAAGGCTTCGGGAGCAGGACTGGGGGACAGAGGAAAGGGCCCCGGCTGGGAGCCCGGCTCTGAGTCCTGGACCTGCCATGTGCAGCAAGCAGTGTGGCCGTGGCTTGCAGACTCCTGAGCGGTGGTTCTGTCCCACAGGGAGGCGGCAGGATTGGCCGGTATAGGCAGGTGAAGAATCCTGGGACCTCCAGCCCAGGTCTGTGACTTGAAAGTGGGATTGAGGCTAGACCCCCGAGGCCCCGGGTGCTAGCCTGCCTGTGTGAATATTGGAGGACAGAGCCTCTGAAGTGGGGCTTATTGTATTTCTAGATGAATAATAGTAGTTTCTGTGATTTGAGTGCACTCGCTCTGCCAGGTAACTTGGAGTAATCCTCTGCAGCAGGTGCTCCGATGATCATGCCTGTCACACAGGGGAGGAAACCGAGGTTCAGAGAGGGTCAGGAATGTGCCCAGCAGAGCCAGGGGTCAGGCCAGGCCTGGAACTTGGCCTCCCCACTTCTGCTTGGAAGAGATATTTGTGTTGGACGCTTGGCATGAGGTGGGGAAAAGGGACCCATAGGTGGGGGCGAGCATCGTCATTGTCCCCAAGTGTGCTGTCTGCCTCAGCTCTGGCTGCAC